TCAAAACTTTAAATGAAAATATATTTCTAGTACTGAATGCATTCTGTAAGGTATGCAGTGTATTCGCGAATGTATCGGATGACCTTACAATATTCAACGTAAGCAATATACGAGAAAGTAAAATAATTAAAAGTTAAATAATACGATACTGATGATGTTGGCAAACAAAGGCAAATAGATCGAAAAATATGTAATCGTAATTGTTAAACACTATGGTTTTGCAATATTCTACAAATACATAAAAGTATTAGTTTACTATATTACCACGAAAGAAAGGCAGCCGTCATTATCGCCTTCTGTTATAAGTGCGTCTTTACAACTATGAGTTACAAGTAACAATGACCGCTAATACGTAGGTGATAATATGGGAGTTTTTCTTTATTTATTTCATGTTCGGCAGTCCTTTCAAGAGCTTGAATTCAATTTTATTTATATTCACAATAAGGTTTTGGCACCATCGCTAAATGCTAACTCATTTACACTATCACTAATATTAGTAGTTTAAAATTGTTGTTCAATTTTAGAGAATTTAGATTTTAATTAAATTATTTCTCTGGGTATCAATAATAAAGCTGGATGCATTTTATATTTAGGAAATTTGAATTTAATTCTTCTAGGGACCACAACATTACGATCTAAATTAAATTTTCGAGTAACAGGATAAAACTTAATTAAGGGAAGAGAAAAATTTTTGAGATTTTTCGTTATATAATTTTTAAAGAAATCTACATGTAATTCTCTATGAATTTGGTATAAACCAAAGGGCTTGGAGTATCCACCTAAGACATTTATTGCCTTATTCGCCTAAGCATAACTAGTAATTTCTTTACTTTCATTAATGAAGCGCAGTAAATTGGCGACTTGTTTGTCGCAAAATACAAAAAAATTATATTTTCCAAAAATTCAACATTGATTTATTTAAAGATCTTTTTTTGAAGAACACATTTCATTCAGAAAAAATCTAATTCAGTCAAACCTCAAATGGAATGTTCATAAACGTTAAATTAAGTTCATTATGTTACGCATTCAGAATTCATTCAAATTACAAATTTCAATATACAATTAGAGACTATACCCATCAAAAAGAAAAATAATGTTTATTTTAACAAAACAGTGATATATAAAGAATTAGTTTACATTTGTATTGTATATATATATATATTTTAAAAGACCTAATATGCTTGTAACAAGTAATGTACTTCAGCTTCCGGGTCAATGATCCCCATCTCGAAGTGAAATTAGAAGACGGCAAATAATTGCGAGTTTTTTGAGATAAAGCGGTAACAAGAGTTATTACGCAGTTACAGACAAGTAATTCCGTACGATAACATAATTTGGCCGCATAACTATTTTAGTGAATAGTCGCTCATTCTAATCTAGGAGCACACGATCTATGTTTTAATTGCACGAAAGCCTGATTCGCAAGGAACACGTGCTCCAGAAGAGTGGCAGTGGTCGTACGACGACGAGGACGATTGGACGAGGTCGAAGAGCGGAAGACGATGCTGCAGCGTTCCGAAGGCGACGCGAGAGAATTCGTGATGGCTTGGGGTCGGCCCCTGACCTCACGCACTGAAACTTTTTGAGAAGACGACGGCGCGAGCGCGGGCGCCTTTGCGATCCCGACATCTGGCGCACGACGACAACGAACGCTGAGTTTAAAACCCTTGAATAATGGAAGAGAAATGGTAAAGGTAGTTTTAGATCGCCCAAATTTAGAACAAAAACTGGGAGGGCAAGGATTTCTAAGCGTATCGTCTGGTTAAATACACGTCCCAATTTCAAACGTGAGAACCAAGAGAAAAAAGAATCATTGTCAATTTGAATAATCCGTAATGTGTAATGAACTCTGTTAATTATAACTAGATTTTTTGGAAGGGAATTTCTCTCATGTTGAACAAAGGGGATATTTTGTAGGTAATCTATTTGTGTGAAGGGGTCTTTCGAAAATTTAAAATAAGAGTTGTCCATTAAGCGAATTTGCTTGGGATTTCAAATAGCCCTAATATAATTTATAAATAGCAATCAGCTCAAAAAGGTGCTAAAGTAATCGATCGATAAAACTTAGATGTTATCTTCTTCCCTTTATGATATTGAGAATTAAATAAATCCAGTATTTTACCAGAATTCATACCGTTTTACCTTCATATGAGATAATGAACAAGAGTTTCTCCCTCCCAAAAAAAGTGCGCCTTCCACGTTCTACTAAAATAAATATTGGTATATGGCGACTACTTACACCTGTGTATATATATATATATATATATATATATATATATATATATATATATATTGTGACGAACGCATGTGTGTAGGTTCACCACACACGCCCACACGTCAAAAGAACACCAATAAAAGGACGTGCAAGCGCAGCGCGGTTCGAAATGGGCGCGCCCTCCGCCGATAAGACGATTGCCTGCTGTGACCGCTAGGTAGCGCATGAAATGCAGCAACTCAGCTGGAGGAGGGGTAGACGTCGTGCCACCCCTACAATGGAGGGCGGGTGCATATATACGCGGACCCGCAAACGGGAGCCCTCTTTTGCCACCGCTCGCCGAGAAAGCAGCTGTTCGTTATCATTAGCTTAGATATTGTTCGCCGCTGCAACGATTACTAGGTAGAAGTATTCGGCGTCGAACAGACGTTCTAGTCAGCCGCGAGATAGTGCAGTTAGTACCCGTTGTGAGGGAAGCAGTGAAAACTCTGGTTTAGTAAAGTAGAAGTAGCAACGAGCGAGAAACTTGCACGAGTGTTCGGTAAAGTGCAAGAGACATTTCGCAACGTGGGCGTGGTAAGAGGCGCCGGGAGCAGACGAGGAAGAGGATGCCGAGGATCCAGGCGCACGACGAAGAAGACGGAACTGGGCGTACGACGAGGAAGAAGAGCGGAAGAGAACGCGAGGAGGCAGCGCAGACGGCAGAGGCGAATCTCGTCTCTTGACGACGCAGAAGCTGGGACCGTGCGGCGTCGACGCAGAGGCCAGCGCACGACCCCCATGCCAAAAGTGGGAAGTCCAAGAGTTAACGGTTCGGGCGCGAGAAGTAGGTCAAGTTCTCGTCGGCAGGGGAAAATTAGTACAGGAAAGTGTGAAGGAATTGAGGACACGGGTGGCAACAAATTGCAGTATCATAGTAAGAACCATTTTGACGCACTATTGCCTGCATAAAATATTGTACATAGGACATTTATTATTTTGTTATTTTCAGCCACAGTTAAATTGTAAATGAGAGTGGTGGACCTGCACACATTTTTTTGTTTGAATGTGATATTTTGAAGGAGGATATTGTAAATTTTGGTTTCGTGTGCAATGTAAAAATAATAGCATAATTTAGATATATTTAGTTTCCAAGGGAATTCCCAGAGGAGATTAGGGCAATCATTTAAGAGTCTCAATTTTATGGTGCAAATTATGTGTTTATTATTCATTTGTGTGTGAGTTGTGAAGACGAAGCGGGTTTTTGAAGCAATTAAACCCTGTTTAACTGTTTGTGTGTTTATTTGGATGGGCTCTCAACTCCCCAGAAGATCCCACTGCCCTGTGATTTATTTCAACTCGCAAGAGCAGATATCTGTGGACCGCCCCAACAGACAACAATTTGGGTAGATATACATTGTTTAAAGTAAGGGCGGGGTTCGTTAGAATACATAGTCAGTCATTTTGCCACATAGTCAACTACTGTTACAAAATGTAAATTACAGTTTATTGTGATATGTGCTCGTGTTGTGAAAAGTTCTTGGAATAATGATTGTATTTTATCTGGTAATGAGGTCACAATGTCCTCCTAAACGTGGTAAAGAGGTGTAAATGTCAATAAAAATGGTCTGTTTTAAATTATAAATGAAAGGTAAAATATTGTTTTTTATTCACAAGTGAAACTTTAATTTCCTTCCGTCATATTTGACGAGTTACTTCTCGTTTTACCACCTGACCTCCAGTCAGAGACGGATTAACAAATTTGCCATCTGTAGGCACGCGAAAAATTGCAGATTTCTTTATTTAACCCAGGGGAAAAGTGACATATAATAAGTATAATTTATTTTTGAAGCTTGGATCGAAATACCTTTAAAATTAATTATGATTTAAACAATGATTTAAAAGTGTTCAAATGTTTCTATGAGAAATTAATTAATTTTTAAATCATATATTTTGATGTACATAAATAACACAACTTCATTATGGTTTTTTTGCCGTTAAGCATATTTATTATTCTACCGTTATTCTATCTTTAATTCTCCAAATCACATACATGCATACATTTAACACTAGAAAATGTGAATGAAATAAGACCTTCAAATCAATTATCAAAATTACACGTTTATAAATATGTGTAATATCTAGAATTTATAATATGAATAATTAAATTTCCCGCCAGATCTGGGAGAAACACACCGGATCTAGCAATATTGGCTATATTAGAGAATTATAAATTCTAACAATTCGGATAAAACTGACTGGCCCCTATAAAAAAAGACATTTTCTGTAATTGTAATTAAATATTAATTGTGTGACTTCTGAAAATATAAAATGGCTCGTTTGACTTTTCAGAAGTCAGATATTAGATGGGTATCATCAGTCTGTTAATAAATTAATTTTGGAGTAGTTATTAAATTTGTTCAAAAACGTATGAAATGCAAATTTTAAAAAAGAAAAAAATCGGACGTTAAGAAAAGAGGCTCCAATTTTACTCCATACTCATTGCCGCCTCTTCAATATTGCTGTCATAGGCATGGGCCTCCTGTGCCCATGCGTAAATCCGTTCCTGCCTTAAGTGTGGGAGACCTGGGAGAAATCTGCCTGTTCGTGTTTTGAGGATACTCAGCTACTAATGGCGCAATCATTGATACGAGCCTAGGTGGAGCACGAGGCGGGAGCGGTAGTTACCATTATTCATTTCAATTATTCATTCATATATTTCATTATCCAATTCGTTATCATCCCTTTCATGATAATCTGATTCATTCGTTCAGTAATTGATTTCATTCATGCTTTCAGAACATACCTCTTATAAGCGCGAATGGCTTGCGGGAGATTGCTGTCGGGTTCCTTCATAAGGTAGCGGCGCGTGCCGCGCAGCCCGTTCCTGAGGAACTCCTCAGGTACAATTTTCTCGAATCGGTAGCCGAATCCCTCGCGGTCCTCTGGCTGTATCCGCTTTTCCAGATCCATGAAACGATCGTTCAAGAAGTCCCAGTCTTGCAGGACGAAAAACGAAATCGCCATGTTGGCCGAGTAGATTCGGCGCTGCAGGCGAATCAACCTGAGACATAGTGAGCACCGTCACTGCGATAGTGGGAAGACATGCCCTAAGATTAGAAAATGATGCCTGGACTGTATCTTATGACGAACCTCAGGCGGTTGATAAAACGACCAATAGCTCCGACCCTAGAGTTAGCAACCCTTCCAACATCTCTTGGATATTGGAACAATACACTACCACCAAGACCGATAAAGTCCAGAGGACTGCTACAAGATACACAGTAGTATCAAGTAGTTCAAAGAGAGAAGGTTTTGCAGTTGGAAAATGACATCAACGCAATTTACATTTATACTTCTAATTTTTTTTTCAAAATTTCGAAATTGTATTTTTTAAAATGTATTCGGTCAGTTATATTTACAGTACGGACGTTTTGTACATTATTTTTTTGTGCAAGTGAAATTTCTTTAAATGCTTTATAATAAAATTTATTGAAAAATAAATATTTTTGTGTAAAAATGAGCTGAAAAATGCGCATTTTCAGAAAAGCTGAAATGTCATTTTGTAAAAAACGGATTCAAATTTAGAACAAAAACTGCGTATAATATTATTTAAATTATTATGTAAATCATACGTATTTCGGTTCCACCGTTAGGTAACAAAAAACATTCACAATATTAAAAATGCCCTTTAGGTGGCAATACATGGCAGCTGGGAAGAGGGTGCCGGAAAACCGAAATGTTAGTCTCAAGTAAAGAGATTAGAAAACTAACTGGTACGATCGAGTCTGTGCCACAATGAGTTTATTTGTATTCTCATTCCTCATTACCCCTCCCATCCTAGATCCATCTACAAACCAACGCAAACAGGTTAGAAAGCGCAAAGAAATAAAGACTCGTAGCCCTCTAAAGCTAGCATCGCCAAAAAACAATTTATACCAAACGATATCGGTAATTTTAGGCTAATTGTATGCTCTATTCTGATTTTAAATTCTTTGGATTTTCCAGAATCGTTGGAACTGCTAGCTTTAGACTAAAGCTAGCAACGCCCACCTAGAAAATTCATCTAAAAATCAATTCAAAAATATTAAACCACGCCCAAAATTTAAGGCAAATTTGAGGCTTTAGGAAAATATTACTCCGGCATTTTATTCCTAAAATAAGGACAGTACAAAAAGAAAGAATTAACATTGTTTCTTATAGACAAATAAAAACAAAAATCCTTAGAAAAATTCTAAAACCTTACCTAAAATTTAAGGCTAATTTGAGACTCTAAGAAACAAATTATTCCTGCATTTTTATTCCAAAAATCAGTGCTTTACAAAGAGAATAGATTAACATTGGTTCTTTGAGACAAATAAACACTAAAAAAAAGGCGTCTGAAATCCTACCCAAAATTTAAGACTAATTTGAGGCCCTTGGGAAAAAACGTATTCTTGCATTTTTATTTCAAAAATCAGGACTGAACAAAGAGAAACAAATAACACGGTTCTTATGTTGGAATAAATACCAATAGCAAACTAGTGTGGCTACAGAATTGCACAGACTTTCCCTATTAGTTTTCTATTTCCTTTGCTCTCGGCTAACTACTCGTATTCGGACTTGTCACATACCCTTGCCAGCTGCCATCTATCGCCAATCAAAATACATTTTGTTTTAAATTTTCTTAATTTTTCTGTTTTCTAATAGTATAAAGGAAATATTATTTTAAGAATATTAAAGAACAGTAGCACCTTGTCCTAAATGGCTATTTTCGTCGAAAAATTTGGTGCGGTTTTTAAGAAAATGGTGCCTAAGCGCTACTGTAAATTCGAAACTTGAAGCTCTTTTTGACATTCGTGAGTTTTCGAAAAAGTTCGTTAAAAACATTTAAAGCACTTTAGCTCGCAAGTAAATTGTGTTTACAAACTTCTGGAAATGTGCATATTAACGGCGTGAGACACTATTTAAAAAAATACATTTGTGTAACTTTTGAAAAACAAAAACAAAAAATACCTAAAAATGAACAATACAATATTAAAGAGTGACATTAGCATTATCCGTTTTAAAAGTTAAAAGAAAAAATTTGAATATAAATAAATATAAATTCAATAAAATTAATTTTAATTTTTAATTTAAATTTAATAAAAAATGTATAGCATTAATGGAAAAACATTTGATGAACAAATTTAATTTGAAGGCAAAATCTTTTATCTTCAATTTTATAGTTGTAGGAAGACGCCCAAAAAGACTGAGAGGCTGCTCTTGATTATTTTCTCTTTCTATTGTCAGTTAACAAGTGATGAATTATGGCTTCCAAAGCCTTCATTATCCTTTGTGAGTAAATTTCTTGGCTTGATTCATTTCGCAATTCTTGCTCACAGGGCGAGTACTAGCTTCCGAAATTCTAGCTGCAGAGTGAGCTGTATAATTAAACTTTGTAATAAATCAATTGGAGAGACAACTATTGAGACAACTAGAAATTTATGTTAACTGCTTCTTTTAATAGTACTTCTAGCACTGTTTAATGGATGAAGATTAGAAAAATAAATTTTTCCTCGAGCTCCAAATTTGCGTTAAATTTTTACTAGGATTACATATTTTTCTGAGGTTTACTGACTTTTCTGTTTACACGCCTTCAACAGCATGTGTTAATTCATTCTCTTTGTACAGCAGTGCTTCTTGGAATAAAAATGTGGAAATATTTTGCCCTCTAGAGCCTCAAATGTGCCTTATATTTCGCGTATGGTTTCATATTTTTCTGAGGTTTTTTTGTACTCACCTATAAGAACGTTTGATTCTCTTTGTGCAGCCTTTCTTTTTGGAATAAAAATGCAAGAATATTTTTCCCTCTAGAGCCTCAATTAGCCTTAAATTTTGGATAAGGTTACAGAATTTTTCCAATTTTTTTTATTTTGAAGTTTGTTAGCCCATAAGAACCAACGTTAATTGTTTTACTTTGCACAGCCCTGATTTTTTATGATAAAAATTAGGGAATCATCTGTATATTTAGTTCTTTCATTAAAGTTTTGTACATTTTTTACAAAATGTATTAGTTTTCGCGCAATATTGCGTACATTGTGTACAATATTAAAAAATAAAAAAAACACAAGACTTTCTCAAAAACGGCACCAAAGTTTTTCTTTAATATTTTGGTAGTGGAAGTGCTAAATGTTCTCTATAAGATGACATAAACGCCAATTTGCTCAATTTTTTGTTTTTACAAAAACTACAAAAATGTAATTTTTTAACCAGTCTCACATCGTTAATATTTACATCAGCTGCAATTTTGCCACATTATTTCATTTATGAGTACACTGCTTTAAATTGAGTCTTATAAATTTTCTCGGAAACTGAAAAGTTTTCTGTAAAATCGAGCTTAAAATTCCACATTTTCATAAACACTCAAACGCCATTTTCTCAAAAACGGTTCTAAATTTGTTTCAAACTATCCCTACGAATAGTGCTAATTGCACTATTTAAGATGACTTAACATTCATTTTCCTGAATTCTTTGTATTTTGACAAAACAAATTAATTATATTAATTTATTTAATTTTTAAACAAATTTATTTTTTAAAATATCTCTCAAGTCGTTAATTTCCTACAAAGTGTATACATTATTACATTTTTGAATCGAATAAGTTTAATAAAGACTTCCAATAAGTTTTTCGAAATCTCAATAGTTTTCTGTGAAAAAGAGCTTCAAATTTCGCAATTACAGTAACACGTAAACGCCGGTTTTGTAAAAACGGCTCTAAATTTTTAAAAAAAATCTTATGACGAGATTTTACTCTTTTATAGTACTCTTAAAGTAGTTTTTCAGTTCCGCCATTACGAAACCGAACAATTTGGGCGGCGATAGATGTCAGCAGGCAAGAGGATGAAGCACTACCGAAAAGCTAGCCTTGGCCATCAATATTAGGAAACTAGTACTCTAAAGTCTGTCTGATTCTGTATGACAACTATTTCTTCAAAGTTTTACAGTACAGCTTAGCTAGAATTGAAATGCGACGTTGATCATATTATAGAAGAGTAAAATCTGGTCATTTATACAAATTTTTGTTTTTAAGTTTAGAGCCTTTGGAGGTCACCAAGTTGAGCGTTCTGGAACATACTCAAAAGTTTGAGCTCAATTCCATAGATTTTGAGTTGTCGAGAAATATTATTGGTTGAAGAGTTACATCTATTGTTCGCTCTAAAACAAAATTTCAAAATGAATGACTATTTAATATTAAGATGTTCCTGCCATCATATGTATATATTTTTGAAGATTACTTTTTCCTCTGTGAATTAAGGTTTTTGATTCCATTAAATTAAAAATGTATTTTAACCATCCCATAAATATTCTTGTCACCCCGTCCTGATGCATATTCAATATTGTAGAGAAATGGAGAGGGTGCGGAGGATCGTACGACTTCTTCCCGCGGTCCCTTTTCCTTAACCCCCCACTTCTCAGCTAACCCGCTTTCAAATTGATTGACTTATTAGTTACTCTTCCGTGCGCGGCAAAGGGTGAGGTAAGTTGTCCCATAAGTGAAGTACTTGTTTTTATCTCCTACCCGTCGGCTTGCGGGGTTTTCCCAAACCAGGTATCTCCCACTAGCGGGGCATCCCCAAGCCGGGACAAGCTCTAAGTTACCGTCTGGTCTCCCAGTGTGTGTGGTAATGTACTGCATGTAAGTGTAAGTGTGTGTTCGAAAGGGGTGAGTATAGGACAAGGAGGAGGGAGAAAAGATCTGGCCCGTTTGGAAGAGTACTGCTCCGTCATTCGCCTGGCGTTAATTGGAGAAACCGCAGAAGAATACCAATCAGACCCGCTGGTTTTTAGAATTATCCTCCCGACAGTTGCTGAATTATATCCAGCTATATTAGACCGATCAAGTGTCGAAAATCCTGCTCTTCGTCGGGACTGGAACCCCTAGGATCTTCCTGTCGGAGGCACTGCAGTGACTTGTTGATGCTCCGAGTCACCTTAGTCGGTTATCCCTTTCAGTTTTAGTTACCTGAGAAGGCATGGCCGTTTCGTTCATGCGGAGTTTCGGAGGAAATACATATTAAAAATTTTTTATTAAGAAGTAGCGCAAACGTGTTCTCCAGAGAAAACCTCGGACATAGCTGAACGTGCAGAATATTCGAAATTGTGTAGGTGAAGTCATAGGAATAAGAAAGTGCTTGTGAGGGGAAGTCTTAGTTCTGTTTTCCACAAACTTTCAGGCGAGGAAGCCTGACGACGGTGGTGGCAAAGGCTGTGCGGGCGACGGCGCCAGGTCCGTCCGTGAGTAGGGTATGCTCACACAGGCCGACGCTTGCATCCGGCGCTGATAATTTACCAGTGCTGCACTCACATGGGTTTGCGACCGGCGGCGGAGAGCAGAGCGTCGACGATCACCGCTGGCACCAGATGGAAGAAGAAGAACTGCACGAGGAAGAGCAGGCGGTTTCTCGTAAGATTGCAGCACGGGTGGTACAGGGTGTTCGAGAAGGGCATCTCGGCGCAGGCCTCGTGAGCGATCTCGTTGAGGTGGCCCTGGGTGATGCGATGCATGTCCCCCTGCGCAGCCTGGTAGACGAGCGGCGGCCCCAGCCTGCGCAGCCACACACCGCACACCCTTCACTCAGGACCAGGGTCGTCGCGCACTGGTTTGCTGCCCTGGTGCAAATACATGGTGATGATTTGAAAAGGAAAACTATAACTACATTATTTTAATAGTGAAAAATTAATTTTTTAAAATATTATTTACCAACGTGTTATTATACTAGATTAATTAAATAATAAATAATAGCTATGCTCAATATAAAATAAGGCACGAATTTTCAAACTCGCAAAGTTCTTTATGATACTTTTTAAAATATATTGTTGCAGATTTCACATTGTATTGGCATCATACACTTAGCGCTTGCTATCAAATGCCAGATTCAAATTATACAAAATATATTATTCTATCCCCTCATCTTTATCCTATTATCTTTATGCTTTCCTTGTGTGGGGAAACGCAGCTCCGTTTTGTATCCAGCAAGATACAAAACATACAAATGTTGCAAAATAAAGCCCTTAGGGAGGCAATTAAATCTCCGTAGTTTAAACCTTATAATCAAATTCATGGAGAATGCCAAATCGAAGCCATTGAAAATCATATAAAAAGTAGGAAATAATTTCTATTCTTCCTTATCCTTATTTCATCCCACTCATAAATTTCATCTAGGCGCAGCAGCACACATTCCGTTGAATGAAATCCAAACTTTCCAAAGATATGCTTAAATCCCCTAAAGTATAAAAACCTATAGAATCTTTCTATGTTCCGTCCCTAATGCCTGAGAGAACAACTCCAACAGTTTATCCTCCAAAATCAAAATTAAAATTCAATATCTAATACAAAACTAATGCAATGAGCCACAGTAACTTAAATCTCAAAATGTAAAAGAATGGGCCATTTGTAAAAAATTCAGAAGTAAGACAGAAATCTCTCGAAGAACCTCAGGTCGAACGAGAGGAAATACATTTTAAAAAAAATCATTGCCAGGTCTGTTAATATTTCTTGTGACGTGGCTGATCGTAGGATGTTTTTAGACTAACAATGTTTAATGTTGAAAGTGATCTTTCTCGGTGGCTATTGAAACCGGCAAATTTAATAAAATTGGTAATATCACGGTAAAATAGGGAATGACTCGGTTAGTTTACTTTGATATATGTATTCTAATACTACAATTGATAATTTATATTCGAGAAATTTCGTGAGTATATTTAGTTCATTTGCGAATTGCATTGCTTTCACATCTTTAGGACTATAGTTTCACCGGTCAGTTGAAATTATTAAACCAAACATTTTTTGAATTTGTGCTACATTTTTGAAATCATGTACAAAAATAAACGCTTCACTTTGCAATTTAAAACTTTGATTGACTTTGACTTCTATTGATGATACTGTAGAGTAAATAATACTCGTCCATACGGAAATGCGGTTCACACAGAAAGCGAAAATTGTCTTTTGGATCATTTGTACCGCCATCGTAATGTTCATAACCAAACACAGTTTTCTTTTTTCGCTTGGGGGAGGGGGAAATACATCGCTACGCATCTTCTTCAACTACATCGCTCGAATTGGCAAGCTCAATTACAGAACTTAGCATTTTCTTAAAATTATTATGATGTCTGAATGTTCGATTTAAGAAGACAATGCTGTTTTTAGTGTTAGTTATTAGGTTCTTTTAGCCCCCAAACACACACACACACAATTTCATATATAATATGATATATGATTATTTTTATGTTGGATGTTGGTATATACCAAAGTAGTGAACCCTGACTCCGTATGACCGATCTCCATGTAAATTTGGTATATCTACGTGTTTTTTCACGCAGAAGGTTTATGTGATGTACGTTTTGTTGTAACTTCATTAGATGGCGCTGCAGAAAAGCCATTCAAATTGCGCTCACTTAAGTTTCATCGTTGCGTTGCCTTGTGACACCGAGAGTTGCAGAGTGGCGCGGCCCAGTTGTAACGGACAGGCGCGCGCGAGGGACAGAGAGAGAGAGAGAGAGAGAGAGAGAGAGAGAGAGAGAGACGGAGAGAGGCGAAGAGACTGAGAGGTGCAGAGAGTAATGGAGATAGACACAAAGAGAGGGACTGAGACAAAGAGAGAGACTAAGCGAGATACTAAGAGAGACTTAGAGAGCCTATGTGAAAGGGAGACTAAGACAGACTTGGAGAGAGAGACTCTGTGAGAGACTACGAGAAAGACCATGAGATACAGACAATGGGAGAGACTAAGACAGAGAAAGAGACTATGAGAGAGAGAAAGAGAGAGATGACAAAGAGACGGGTAAGGGGCGGCTAGGGACGGCTAAGAGGCGGCTACGGGACAACTAAGGGACAGACTAAGAGAGGGAGAAATAAAGGGTCAGAGACACACCGAGAGATGCCGAGGCGGACCTAGGCTGACAGAGACATTCAGATACGGACTTCGCCAAAAAAGGCTGCCATATACAAATAAATATGTGTATATATATATATATATATATATATATATATATATATATATANNGAGAGAGAGAGAGAGAGAGAGAGAGAGAGAGACATACAGAGATACCGAGATAGAGTGAAACAGAGAGGCAGATCAGCTGAGTTGCGCCCGGCAGAGTACCCATTAGACACTTCATTTTCCGTTTTGACTGAGGACTTAGGAGTTAGACTGCGAACCATTCTACGATATATTATCGATATTGGTTTTCGAAACCGAAAGCCTACTTATGGTGCCTTGAAGACTGCTCGATACAAAGCTTTACGTCTCGCCTCGTCAACATTCTTATTGGGCTGTTGATGACTGGAAATACGTTTCTTGCTCTGACGAGTCTTGTTTCACATTGTTTTGAGGGGATGGACGAGTTCGAGTATGGCAATAACCTCATAGATCCATGGACTCTGCATGTCAACAGGGGAATGTTCAAGATGGTGGAGGCTCTGTGATGGTATGGGACGTGTGCAGTTCGAGTGATATGGGACCCCTGATATGTCTAGATACAACTCTGACAGGTGACACGTATGTAAGCATCCTGCCTGATCATCTGCACCCATTCATGTCCATTGTGCATGCTGACGGACTTGGGCAATTCGAGCAGGACAATTCAACAGCCTACACGTCTAGAATTGCTACAAAGTGGCTCCCAGAACACTCTTCTGAATGTAAACACTTCCACTGGCTAACATAATCTTCAGGCATGGACATTATTGACCGTACACGGGATACCTTGCAATGTGCTGTTCAGATAAGATTTCAGATGAGAACCACTTTGTACTCTTACGACTTTATGGACAGCCCTGCAGGATTCATGGAGGCAATTACCTGCAGCACTACTTCAGACATCAGTCGAGTCCATGCCACGTGGTGTTGCGACGCTTCTACGTGCTCGCTTCTACGTGCCCATATCTAGGATACTTTGCAACGTGCTGTTCAGATGAGATCTCAACCCCTTCGTACTCCTAAGAGTTATGGACAGCCACGCAGGATTCATGGAGGCTATTACCTCCAGAACTATTTCAGTCAGCAGTCGAGTCCATGCCACACCGTGTGAGGCGCTTCTGAGTGTCCGCGGGGAACCTACACGACATTAGGCAGGTGTACCTGTTTCTTTGGCTCTTCAATGTATAAAGAATCTCACCCCTTCCTGGCGACCTCGCAACTGCACAAGACAATCCCCTTGACGGCAATGTCGCAGGGAATGTAGTCGATGTAGCGGTCGGGGTCGTTGTAGAACGTGTGCACGACACCCATGCCAGCGCCCAACATCATACCAATGGGTCCGTTGAAATTGTCAATCCAACCGGGGAACGGGTCAATATCGGTAGCCAGCACTGCAACAAGAACACAACAGTAAGATAAATACAAGACCTCCTGTCGATTGTTGATGCTGAATGGATTGTTTCCAGGCACGCCAGCTGTTGTCATTTCACCCGTTAGAGGAGTGATTATTATATCTCGGAAGATGTCGGTGTTCCCGCTGGAATGCTAGAAGAACCGCCGACTACCAGTTGGCATGTGGGTGATTTTCCTCTTCAGGTATCTCTCCGCAGAGAGACAAAGCCGCTTTTGGGCCATCTCTAAGGCTTCGTCTGGTCCTACGACATGTGTGTGTAAAAGAAGAAGATAGGGCTAGGAAGAGGTGAGACGGAAAATATCCGGTCCGTGGTCTCGGGGTGACAGCGAGGAAAATGGACCCAGGGTAGGGAAACTTGGCGGTCAAAACGGGGTAATGATTTTTCGCTCACTCACACCCCTCCGAACGCTGATACGGAACTAAACGTGGTGACGTCATGCAATTCAAAGAAAGGTGGCAAATGTAGGCGGTGATTGTTTTTCGTTACGTGGCAGGGCTGCAAGCAGGTACGTGTGCTCTTTTTTTATCGAATTTTTGGGCTTCCAGCATTATGTTAGTATGTAGTGAATGTCCGTGCATTGTAAGTAGATTATTGCGTCGCGATATTTATTTGTCATGTCTAAAACTTGTTTTCAGTATTTTGGGAAGATGTGTTAAGAAAACGTGGTGCCTAGACAAGTACATTGCTAGGATTTTCTCACTACCCTTGCACTCAGCACCTCGGAACGGTATTTATATTCATTTTGGAATCTTGCTTGCATATAATTGCTAATTGCTTATTTCGATTTAGGGAACATTTACACCATGCAAAATAGTCTCTAAAAAATCTCGTAATCCAATGTAGTATGTAATACCAACCTACACCTAGTATTTCACATATCATATATCATAGTTCTTTTTGTTTAAAAGTTATTGACTACACTCTAATATTATTCCTCGAGTATGGTAATTAGACAAGTTTTGTGTATATGTCCATTGTATATTCCATATATCATTGTTTAGCAATACCCTGTATTCAAAATGTTCTCATTTTCAAATATACATTAATTTCATAAATTTTTTGTTTTTTTTTGCATTTTTTCTTTTAAAGATGGTACACTCTCATTAGTTGCCTATGATGAAAAGTAAATTAATTTATCTGCCTTAGTGTACGAGTTATGTTTGCCATTCCGCGCAAATGAGGCGTAATTCGAGTGCCGATGGATTAACATGGCCAAAGCATATAAACAAATTTGACTTCCATTAACCATTAGAAGATTGGAATTGTATCAACAGTGTTTCCTTCAAGCCCAAGCCTCTTGTTCCTTCATTTCAGAAGAAACATTTCAAGAAAATCTTTATTACAAAGTTGTTGTGCCAGGAATCTTTTTTTTCCTTAGATTCGCTGCAAGTGCTTGCTAGTCTTGGATATTGTAGACATATATAAGGTATATTATTTCAGAATTATATTATCAAATAAATAATTGCCTTGTTAGAAAGACTTGCCATAAAACAAGCACTGGAGAATATCATCATTAATATCAAAACAATTTTGATATTGTGAGAATTAAAAACTTTCGCTTTTTGATGTGTAATAAAAGAACTGTGTGTAATAAATAATATACGTCTTATAAAAATACTCAACTGTTTCTTATTTTTTAAAAATATCAAGATTAGGTATACATTTTTTTTGAAATATTTCACATACTTTCCGTTAGTTAAAACAAGGTTAATATATTATAGATGATTTTTTAGTTAAATGTAGCCCAAATTTGAATTGGTAAATGAAACATCTGAACAAAGAAATCCTGTAATAATAATATTATTGATAATTATAGTAAAAATCAATTCAATTTTTTTACATTTATACCATCACAAATTCAGTATTTCTGCCCATGTGTAGGTTTTCAATTGAGGCATTAGTTTGTGTGTGGACTTTGTGAGAAAATATTTCATGATGTACAGTAACCAATCAGATAAGCCTTAGAAATAAAAAATATTTTGATTGCCAGCCTAAACAGAAAGCGAAATCGCCTGTGTGCCAATTGTTTATAAAAAGCTTAAAGTTAAAGATTTGCCTAAAACTAAAGAGAAAACTTGGCCAAATTAAAATTGGTTATATCTTCACAAATTTCTCTTCCATAAAAAGATTTTTTTTGTAAACTAATGCAAATTCCTCTTTAATCCCAGAACCACTAAGCATATTTACGGTATGGATTATGGGTATGTTTTAATGTATATGTTATGAATTACTACACTATCATTCCAGACTAATCAAACTTGCCAAACATAAAGATCATACCATCAAAGTGTATTATATGTATAAATTTGATTCGATTTTCCTTGGTTTTCAAAGATCTTTTACCCACAGAATAGTTACTGTAAAAATAAGGCTCATCTACCCATATGAATTGATATATGTCATCAAAAGTTCTACAATTCTTTTTGGACAACGATATAAAATCCACCAAAGAGTTAAGTTGATATGATTTCAATCCCATTGATTTTTTTTATATTTTAATAATGATTTAAATCTTTCATAATCATTGATTTAAGTTATTTTTTCAAAATATTACAAATAATAAATATTAAGTTATTAGAGATGAAAGACTTGAAATCCAATTACAAGTTTATACAAAGAAGTTTATTTCGTTACGTTATATAAGAAAAGTTTTTTTTCAACTATTGAAATTCGAGAAAAAAAAATACAATTTGTAATATACTTTAAAATGAACATGCTTATGAAATGAACAATAAACATTTGTAGCAGTTATTTTACTAATTTTGACTTGGATGAATATAATAGTTTTAGTATCCAGCCATTTTCATTGTCTGTAGATAATGGCCAAAATGTTAGGAGACAATACAACACCGAGCTAGTTCAGGAAAAATGCGTTAAATCTTTCACAGCATATCCAATAATTCTAGATTTGGAGTTAAAAATGATTTGCTAATGCCACATTAAAGTTATAACATTACTTAGAGAAGATGAGCACTTAATAAAACTGGGAGAGTTATTTATTCCTATATCACTTAAGAAAAAAGATTAAATTGTTTTTTAAAAAACTAATTAAAAACGGTATTTAATCTTACTAATTTTTAATAATGTAACCTTTTCCTTGTGTATATGATAAAATAACCATTTAAGTGGGGAAGAACAGGACAAACTATTAAATAGAATGTGTAATATTCAAATATACTGTCTGATATTGTTGTAATTTTTTTTATGAAATAAGTTGTTTTTAACTAGTAAGAGGGTTTTTGATTCAGGTAAATAATATACAGAAAGAATATAAGGGTGATACATCTTTTTAATATTCTCGGACAAAGAATTTGCCTTTTTTCGATCCCATACAGACATAACAGTGCTTGTATCGAGAGCTATATTCAATAACGTTGAACAATGAGAAGTGATAAAAAATCTATTAAGTACTCAATTTAAGAGTTATGTGGGCTAGAGCTGGCTGTAGGGTTGAATTTATTGCCACCAGACCCCTCAAATGTATAGTATGCTATTGTGAAAAAAAAAAACTAAAAACCAATATATCATTAGGAAATGATCAATTTAAAACTTCATGTTCTTCATTGTTTTCTACTTTTAAAGTAATTAAGGATAAATAAATCACTTACAATTTTTGGTTTTAAGTAAACACATCTAATACAATATTTAAAAATATTATTAAATCAAGTTTAATCTGCAATCATAGAAAGGCTCAGATAAATACTTTGAATAATCTCTACACGCCGCCACAATTAATTCGCACAACCTACTTTGAAATGCGCGCCAAAAACGCAACAGCTCGCTACACCAGGTCCCGGACTGAGGAAACAAACTTAGCGTCCCCCGCCTTTTAACATTGACGTGAACCGCCCTGAATGGACCTGGCTGGTATTGGCTCAGAATCGAAAATTCGCGACCGTTGCGACTCAAGTCCTGCGACCTCGGAGTCCGAAGTCGCTGCTGATACCAGCGGCATTTGCTGCTGCTCTGCAGCTAACTGACCGTTGTTATGGTCCTCTCGGAGGCAGGCGGATCACGATATGATAAGTCGTGTTGTGTGCTGCCTTTGGACTTTTGTGGGCATACGACGCAGTCCGTGGTGAAAATAATTTGGATACTCACTGCGAAAGATCATATGGGCACTCGCTGCGCGACTTTCTTTCATAATTCCGTTCGCATTTCCGTCAGATTCGCCTTAAACACTATTGTTTGTAGAGGAAGTAAGAGCTAAATGAAATAATGTCCATTGAAAATGAGGGCGTATTTCTTAGAAATATCTTATAATCCTTTTTTTCTCACGAGTTATTTTTTTCGAATTCAAATGCTGTTTTCTCGAAAACTATGTTTTTACTTGACGGATCTCTGAAGCTTAATTAAATGGCACTATTTTTTCCTTTGGAATATACTTGTACATTATCTAAATACTCAAAAATACTCAAAATACTGGTATTAATATTTTACAAGCTTAACTTGTGGTCTTCATAATGACACATAGTTTCTCGCGCTAGTTGGTGTTCTTTTTTCTTTGGCCTGGGCTTGCCACATACTCTTGCCAGCTGCCATCTATGGCCGCTCAAAGTATATTTGTCCAAAATTTTCTCAATTTCTCGGTTTCTTAATAGTAGAACCGAAATATTACTTTCAGGATATTATAGAAGATTGAAATGTCGCCCTATAAGAAAATGTTTGTTCAAAACATTGTAGACATTTATAAGAAATGGCGTTTAAGCGTTACTGTAAATGCGAAATTTGAATCTCTTTTTCACAAAAATCCTTTGAGTTTTCGAGCAACTTAATGGGACGTCATTGGAAGCAATTCTACTCACAAATGAAATAATGTATACAAATGATGGAAATGTGCATATTAAAAGCGTGTGAGATATTTAAAAAAATACATTTGTATATTTAAAAACAACAACAAAAGAATACAACAAAATTCATTCCATGTATCGTAAACATTGCAATTAGCACTATCTATACGAGAAGCTTGAAGAAATAAATTGCATCAGTTTTCGAGAAAATGTCATTTGAGAGTTTCTGAAAATTTCGAAGTATTCAAGAAATAACGTTAAAACATTTAGTTCGGAGATATCTGAGGCCGCAGGCGCAACACCTACCCACTGAAGGGCGTACGATGCCCACGGGCAGGCGGTCCGAGTAGTGGTCCACGATGTGCTCCGCCAGGTTCTTTGTGAATGTGTACGTGTTGCAGTGAGGGCCCAGAATCCTGTAATAATAAAAAACACCGTGCTTTAGATAGCGTACATGTAGAACCAAGTAAATCTTAATATCTAATTTACTGGCTAGGGAAATGAATCATTACTGTCCCGTATTTCATTATATTCTGCACATAAATGTATCTTCACTATATGCACGTTTTGTTGAGCTCTGCTTTCGCTATGAGTGGAAGGAATAGAGCCGGGGTATTTTGTTACAAATACTAAATACTAAATTTTTAATTTGTTTACCGTTCCAAATTTGTTTTATATAACTCGGGAGCGAAAATGTACAAGTATATTTTCAAATGTTACTAACCTCGATTTTTTGGCACGTTGCGCATCATTCAAGTGTATGTTTAAAAGGGAGGAAGAGATTCCAGAACTTAAGAAAACGTGTGAAGATTGTACTTCCCCCGTACCTTGCATAGTTTATATTGTTCTTGACAAAATCTATAAATCAAATTAATATTATTAATATATTATTCGCACTTTTTAACTTTCTGGTATACGTACGAATATACGGCGTATTATACTGCTGCCGCGAATTCAACATCGAGTGTGTTTATCGATAAAATCGCGGGCATCCAGCACGGCCAGCGGCCGTTGGAAGAGCGGTACCTGACCCGCGCCTTTCTTCCCGGCTTTATTGCGGCGAGGGTCGTTAATGGCCTACCGCTGACGGTACGCTGCCGCCGTTTGAAGGGGGGATCTTCGTCGGCAACCGCGGCTCACAAAGTACTCAGGACGGATGACAATTTCCCCCACGCCACCGCAGGTCAAGAGGGTGGACGGCAATCACACCCTCTTGAGAGACAGATTTACAACGAAAATGAACGCGCACGTGCGGCCGTCCGCGACTTTTATCGACGATCCGTCCACGACTTTTATCGCCGGCGCGGAGGGACTTGCCTGAGGCGCTAAGCAAAGGATCTGCATATATGTGGAGATCTAAATGCTAGAGTGGGAAACTCACTAATCCCAGATATTGTAGGAAATTGTGGAGAATATTATATAAACAGGAACGGTCGGGAGCTGAGACACTTTGCCAGCATGAAGCATCTAAAAGTGACAAATACCTTCTTTCGAAAGATATTCACAAATACACATGGACAGCTAGAGGATCGATAATAGACTACTTTTTAATAAATGATAAACTAAGACCTCAGTTGAATGATGTGAGAGTATTTAGAGGATGCGATATAGGCTCAGATCACTATATTCTAATAGCTGATTTTAGGATATGGGCAAAATGGAGACAGATTAGAACCAGACAAACAATACCTCAAGAAGAAGTATATAAAATACATTTACTTCAAGAAGAAAGTGTGAGAAATCTCTACTAAGGCCGACCTGGAAAAACCGACTGAAGACAACCTAGACTTAGATTGGGAAAAACGTACGAGAATGTATTCAAAGAGCTGCAATGGAAGTCCTAGGGAAGAAAAATAAAATCATAAGTAGAAAGGGCCTACGGATCTGGAATTAAGAAATAGCGCAAGCAGTAAAGGATAAACAGAAAGCAAATTGACAATGGATCCAAAAAAAAGATGAGGAATCAAGAAAAACATAAAGAAAAAAGAAATGCAGCTAACACAATCGTGAGAAGAGCACATCAAAAGTCTTGGGATAAATTTATAAGCCAAGTAGATCATGACATACACGGAAGACAAAATATTGCTTACGAAGTCCTAAAACATATAAATAAAGAACAAAAAGATGTAGCAAAAATAGGTATGATAAACAAATATTTGTGGATAAGGCATTATAGAGAACTTTGGTGCAGGAAAATAAGAAAAAAATGAAGAACAACAAAGAGATTGCCAAGAAACGGATGAGACAGTCCATTTGATTGACATACATGAATTGAAAGAGAAATTGAAAACAATGAAAAACAGGAAAGCTTCAGGAAGCGATAAGTTAAATACAGAACTGTTCAAATATGGTGGAATGGTGTTGTTATGGAGACTGTTTCACAAAATAAACGAATGCTGACAAAAAGATAAAATACCAGAGGAGTGGAAAATAGCAGAAGTTATATCGCTATTTAAAAAAGGCGACCGAAACGAATGTAAAAACTATAGAGGGATAAGCTTGCTCAATTGCATATATAAATTGTATGCCAGAATAGTACATAAAAGGCTGAAAAGTATTGCAGAAGTACTGATGGGAGATGAGCAAAATGGTTTCAGGAAAGGAAGATCGACCACAGATAACATTTTCATAGTACAACAAATATTGGTGAAAAGAAGGGAATATAACTTGCAAACTCATCTAGCATTTATAGATTTCGAAAAAGCCTTCGACAGTGTAAATAGAGATAAACTTTGGTACATCATGGAAAAACAAGGCTATCCACGACATCTAATAAAGATGGTCAAAAGCCTATATGAAAATACTAAAATAGTAATAAGAATAGGAAACACAGTATCTGAAGAGATAATAACAAATAAAGCGGTAAAGCAAGGTTATCCTATATCACCTACATTATTTAATATCTATGTACAGGACATAAGTAAGTCTTTAAAACAGTATAACACTGGTATTAGAATGACCAAAGAAGAAATATTAACGATTTTATTCTATGCTAATCCAGGATGCTATTATTATCCAGGAAACAGAAAACGAACTACAGAGAGTAGTATACCACCTTAATAAAATTTGAAAACCTATGACATTAATATATCAAAAGAAAAAACAAAAGTGATGTCATTCAGGGAGAAGGACACAGTAAGGTCAAAAATTGTCATTGAAAACAAAATTATAGAGCAAGTTCTCTCCTTTAATCATTTAGGGTGTAAAATAAGTTATGAAAAATATATAGATATTAACACTAAATTAACGAAATATCAAAAAATATGTGGAACGATACACAACACTTTAAAAAATAAGACAAGACCGGAAACAAGAATTAAATTTTACAATACCATGTCAGTTCCTACATTACTCTAAGACTGCGAAAGCTGGATATTAACCCAAAAACACTGTCAACAATACAAAGCTAGCGAAATTGAAATTTCTGACGAAGAATAGCAGAAAGAAAAAAAGGGGGGGAGCACAAAGAAACCCTGGGGAAAAAAAGGGAAGAAATGTTTAAAAAAAATTAAACCCCAAAGTGACATCACATTATACTAGAATGCAATGAATATAGACAAAATTGGGTCGGACATGTGCAAAGGAAAAGAGTTGATAAGCAGACTTCCAAAGCAGTCTGTGTTATACGCCGCCGAGAGGAAGAAGAGACTGGGAAAAGGCCACGAAAACCATTGAGAGAATCTGTGAGGACGGAACAGGCAGTAGCCTAATCCATGAAGTGAAGAAGAAGACGACGACACAGTAACCGTGAACTTGGTGGGGCATATATTGTGATGCATTCCCTTGTTACAGTATCATGTATCAGGTACGAACACGTATACTGCATCTGTTCTTTTTTTCGTGTATGGTTTACGAATTAGTGGTATACATAGGCGTTCAGAGGGACGAACAGACGTTTAAAACTAGTGGTGCTACAACACCACGTACGTTCTCGCCATATTGCTAATAGTTATTGTCCGAGGCTACTTCACTATTTGAGATTTAGTGAACTGTATTGATTGATAGATTAATTGAAGCGGAGCAGTCGTCGAATCCCTTTGTTAGCATGCAGATTGCAGGATGTGCTTCCGGTTTCACAGAAACAAAGTATTGCACTAACAAATTTATTCTTAGTTACTTCAGTGTCATTAATACATAAATACACAGTTCAATGATTGCACTTGTTACACTGTTCAGTTCAGTTAACACAGCGATGTTTCCTTACGGAATATTAAATACCGTGAAGCCGGTGCTTTGTTCTAATCTGAGCCGGCATACACTGCCGTATTCAACTCAATTTGCGATACAAACTAATACTTGAGTTTGCGCAATTAATTCCTGCTCATTACGAGACTTCGAAACTTGTAAGACTACGACATACTACTACTTGTATGACCAAGACTTCGGGAAAAGGCAATTGACCATATTTTTCCACCTCCATGGTGAAATAGATGTTGGGGTGGGCACTGTTGAGGTGATCCAGGAATTCCATTCGATTCACTTAAAGTGAAGCAACACCCGCAGTCGGCTCCGCGACCGGCAGAACGGTGGAGGAAAGGCAGCGCGAGCACATCCGCCACTTCAAAGAGGGAAATGTCGAACGCTACGCTGTCACCCAGCGTGCTTGGGGAACCGGGCATGATGTCGTATTTGAGGAGACCAGGGTGCTCGCCAGAGAAGACCGATGGTGGCCCTGATGCGTCAAGGAAGCGATGGAGATCTTCAGACACTGCCGTAACATTAACGGCGACGCAGGGTTGTGCCTTCACGATGCCTGGAGGCCGCTACTTCCGGCACGCGCCCGGTTGCTCACCGAACCGGAGCGCGTCCCGCCGTCCGACCCCGGGCCGCACCATGCTGGATCCGCTCTCGCCGTCCGATCCCGAGCCGCTCCTTACCGCTTGACGGACCGTTTCGTGCCGTCCGACCACGCGCCGCCCGGCTTGACTCCCTTCCGCTGTTAACTGGCGGCTTCCGATTGGTCAGCTGTTCCAGCCAATTGTACTTGGCCTAGACATGTATATAAACCCGAGCGATGACCACCCCGGCGCATAACAGCCCTAAGGAAGGTCACGACAAGATGGTCGAAACGTCGGAAACTCAGCCTTCGACGCGGCATCCCCCGGACAGCCAAGATCATGCAACTGCTATTAGGTGTCACGATATTACACACAGAAGTACTTATACTTTCAAAAAATTCCACATTCCTTGTTTGAAGAACTGTTTTTATGACCATATTTCATTAAAAAATATATCTTCACAGTTCTAGTTGAGGGAAGACCTAAAATATTTTAATTTTTTTAAAATTGCGCAAAATCAGACATTTAAACGAATATTAGACCTACGCCATTCCATTAAGCGTCCTTTACGCTATCCAAGGACCCACTTTCTATGCTGAAGTTTTTGTGATGGCTATTTTTGTTATAACATTTAAATGATTGCAATAGTGTATGAGACTATTTCATTTATTGTTGAACATTGTGCGTACTACTTTTTGGAAAACTGTTTTGTGTGGTTTGGTTTAGCATAAATCTTTCTTCAATAGGCCGCTACTTAGTCCTAGAGAAAGAGCCAGGTCGTGTGCTTGAGGGCAGTGCTCACTTGGTGGTGAGCGCGCGCAGGGCCACCGGGTCGCTCTGGCCCTGCGCCTCCACCAGCGCCAGGATGGAGCGCCAGTCGCCCGCCGCCGGGTACAGCTTCTCCTCGAACTCGCGCTGGCGCTCGTTGCAGAAGGTGGTCGACACGTGCACGAACGCCTGCGACACAAGATTGATTGATTAGTGATTCCTGGTGCGTCTATTGGTAAGGTCCCGTAAGTGCAGAGTATGTATTTTTATCGCGAGAGGTGGCGGTGAAAGTCCTCTGCTGTATAGCGATATCCGGCGACTAATTACACGATTAGCGGGGATTCACCAACCAGCTGTTTCCTACTAGGAGGGCATCGTTCCAGCTGGGACAAACTCTATGTTCCCCACATGTGTGGCAGTTAAGTGAACGAAAGTGTTGGTGAGTAACGGATTAGGACAAGAAAGAAGAAGAAGAAGGAATGATCGCGTGCGGGCGGCGGCCCCGTTTGTTAGAGTACTTCTGCTCCGACATTCGCCTGAGGTTGATCGGAACAGAGCGCCCAGCCGCTTGATTTTTCCTCCAGAGAACGAACGAATTCGACCTAGCTATGAAGATATTGTCGAAAATTCTGCCACTATTTGGGCGCGAACCCCTCGACCAGCACTGCGCCCGTGTTGCTCGTGTCATACGACGCGTCGAACAAGACTACTAAAACTCATTTTTGGATGTGTTTGTGTGTATCGAGGGGCGCTCAGAGAACCAAGAAGTCTGAAGCAGTAGACTAGGGGGGGGGCTTTATTTTTAAGTTCCGCCCCCACTGTGTATTAAAATAATTCATTTCTCCGCGCAATAAAAATAATTGTAGAGCCTGTTTTAAAGAGCTGACTTTTTGGAACACACTTTGCCTAAGACAAACATATTTATCGACAATTTTGTAGTTTTGAAATGAAGGGTTTTTGCAATTTTCGAAAATTCGGAGAGTTTGCCGAATATGAGTCTAGCTCCATAGTGTTTACCGTCCTTTATTACAGAGGAGAAAATTTCAATAAAAAATTCTGAATTTATTCTGAAACATGAATTATTTCAAATTGGGATTGTATGTCCTTTAGCTCTTTCAAAATCGGCTTGTCCCGATTGTTCACTAAAACAATATCACATTCTTGTCCGAGAACCACACGACTCAGGTTCATAAAAATAGTTGTTTATCGTCGCTGCCACCATCAACGCGATTACTAACTGCACCATCAATAGGAGTCTTCACTTACCCTTAATTTCACCGCCGCCTCTATTTTTGAACACTATTCCGGATCATCGTCACTTAATAATTCATTTATCTATTTTAGATGTTATGTGTCTTTTCTTCAATTTTAGCCGAAATTAACATTAGTGACCAACATTTGATGTATCAAACTTCTACTTTTATACAATTCGTCTACACAAATAAATCAAACAATTATTTAAATCTTGCTCTGTATTTTAAGATAATATATCTGATAAGAGTATCATACACAAAAAGAAACGATCAGATCAAATTCAGATAAAATATAAATGAATTATGTTACTTACGTCGGTACCATTCTGAAAGTAGTCTGACGTATCAACATCGTATTCAATTTAAAATAATTAGAAATTGCGCTGTTGTCAAATTAAAAATAGATCTTCAATTATCAATTGTATGTACAATTGTATACCAACAATTAAAATCAAAACATATTTAATATGAATAATAACAAAGTTGTGAAACATATTCTAACTATATTGTGGATATGGACATGTTAGATACATCAAACAATGGGCTGTAATGGGTTAAGCGTCCTTTACGCGGAAGACATTCAAAACATTTGGTGCAATTTTTGAGAAAATTTTAAAAATATATTCGAGGCTTCATGTAAATAAAAATATCCGGTTGAAAATCCCAAATCTTCGAGTTTGTGTAGATGGATCAAAGAATATCAATTTTGGAGAACAGCGGCTGAACGGTTTATAGCAGGACTGCACAACGCCTGCTCCCACGAGCATTCTGCACTTGCCGTCTGAAAACGATAGTGCCGAAAATGCAAGTGGTAGGGGTTAGGAAGCTTTTTGGGGAGGGGAGAAGTCTAATGTTGCATGACGCGACTCGCAGATTGAATGACTGGGCATACAATGCAGTGATTCATGCTGTAATATCTTTTTCTCACTTATTTAATTGGGTGATTAAATATTTTAAGTTACATTTTAAGCTACAAGGCGTATTTAAGGCGTATCAAGACGTATTTTAAGCTACAAGGGACATCATTAACTGTTTACGTTTTTTTGTGCCTTGCTGTGTATCCATCACTCAATGTAATATTGTTTTAGTTGATACTCATTGTGATTTTTAAGCAATATTTTAAAGCAGTGGCCTCTTTCAAAAATTTATAATTTAATAATTTATTGCTCAACAGGTATGTTATAATCACCAAATAATAGCAAAATAAAGACAGTTATGAAAGCAATTTCTCACATCAAAATTGGCATAAAAATGGAATATAGGCAATTGAAAGAAGGGTAATGTTTAGCAGCACATATCAATGTGACAATTTCCCCTCATTATTAATCGGATTACTAAATATCACGGAGTAAACCTCTCTGATGTTATGTAACGGGCAATCATGAGATTAGCATGGGCCTTATTAAATAAAATGCAAACACCTTTATATTTTTATACAATATCGTAAATGACGATTAAATAGTATCCGTTGATTATATATAATCATTTAGCATTGAGAGAACCGTCTTATTTAATTAAACGTAGTTAATGAAAAAATGTTTATTGATGTCATAATCAAACAAACACAACCCAGTATCATAATTTTGTGTTTAGCAAAACAATATATTTGTAATAAGATCGCAGAAATGGAGATTACTTACCAGCTTAACAAGCAATTATAATATTTGGTGTCGAAATGAATAAGTAGAATTGGTTGTAGGTTCATTTTTGACATTGCCATATATTGACAACAAACTTTTTCAAGATAATACGAAAGGCGATATGACTTGAAATGTATGTGACCGTCTTAGTCTCGTCGATTGCTCTTTCAATTTACGTCCTACATTTCTGTAACGCATTCTAATTAGTGACCCCCCTCCTAGAATTTGCCTCATCCCCACACTTCAAATTTCTCTGCTTTTCAACTTCAGCAGCTCGCGCGTGGATGTCATCTATGCCAGCTGTCATCTATCGCCACCCTAACATTTTTTTGAAATTTCCTAAATTTTTTTGGTTTCCTAATAGTAAAACGGAAATATTATTTTATTTATTTTATTTAATAGGTAATTATTACAAACAAATTAGATTACTTGATCCTATGTGGCTAG